TATTGCAGTGCCTCACTCACTTTGTTTGTTCAGTGCAAGAATTGAGCTTGAGCTTGTCCTGCCAGGAGTTTACATCTGGGATGAAATGGTGTCAGGGCCATTCTCATACACACATGCAGGTGCTCATTGGTTAGCCTCGGTTAGCCTGCCCTGGAACGATATTTAGTTTTGATTTTGATCCTGGTGGACTGATCATATCGGGCTCTGAAACTGCTTATTTTTTGTGACCTCAGTTCTGACTTGAGAGGAAATGTTTGGTCAAACACTTTGTGTTTTGTCTCATAGTGGCGTGTCGGCACTTGTAATGAGCGCCACGGTCTCTGGACAAATGAGACACACTGGCTCTGTGCTCCCAGTGGGCAGGATGAACATGAATGAGTCCGTCCACTCAGGGTTAAAAGCTCTGTTCTCACTGTCCATTTTCCTCTTCTTGGAGAGCGCCATGTGTAATTATTTGTCTCTCCCTGTCTGCCGCTAACACGCCTGTTCACTCTCCTCTCCGCTTCTCTCCCTGAATCGCTTATTATTCTCTTCACTCACTTTCCTCTCCGCTTCTCTCTGCCGCGCTCTCATCTCTTCTTCTGTGTTTCTCTCCCTGTATCGCTCACTCCTCTCTTTGGCCCCCTCTCGGCGGCGGTTAAAATAGAATCGCCCCGTCAAAATTGAAATCCGCTATTAATGTATTGATTATAGGTCCGGGTCCGTATAGGTCGGGGTCCGGATCCGGACCGCGATCCGCCTGTTGCCGACCCCTGACCTAGGGCATCTGTAACTTTTTTGAAATTAAATTTAAATGTTTATTTTGAGCTTTTCCGATAGATCAGCTTTTACTTGTTTTTCTCTGAACAGAGCTGTTTTAAAGAATTTACATGATTAAGAAAACATCTTTCTGTGTGCAGGGTTTAACCCGACCTTTGGCCCATGCTGGGTGAACCTGTACGGTTCTCCTCAGAACTCCACCCTCGGAGACGTCCACCAGGTAAACCAGATACGACAATTAAATCCGACATTTACATACTCTCATGTCTGCAGAACTCAATTCATTCAAGCCAAGAAATAATTCAGAACATAACCCTCTGATGGAAACACAACTAGAATGTTTTACACTATGTTGTACAGATACAAAAAAAAGGCATAGCAAGTTTGTTTGTAGCTACTGACTTCATATTGACCATACAGAATGTTATCAATCTTCTCATGTAACTCTTGCCAAGAGAGTGAATAAAAGTATTGCCCAAAAATGCGGAATTTTTACTCCACAAATCATTAGCTGTCCTTTTCAGTCCGCTTAAGTCTGGGACTGTTGTGTTATGGTGATAGTGGGGACAGTGGGGTTTGTTTTGCAGCCTGTAATTCTACATCCCAGTTTAACTCATTTTTATAGACATTTTTTTTCCTGACTGAACTGGCTAACTCTCTTTCTTCCAGGCTTTAAACCAGGGTTGGGGTGATGGCATCTTCTACCGCGGTCGAATCCTCCTGGCTCTCTCTGTGGAGGTGTACACCTCCCCTGCTGCCATAGCACCAGATAAACCCTCTGCCGCTTTGGGGAAGGTAACTCCTGCTTACTGTTTTTAAATAAGAGTAACCTCAGAGGGTCAATCCAAAATCCCAACCTTATATTCATAGTAAGAATGTAGATTATACGTAGTGCGTTCCTGCTGCATAGTATGCAGATTTCAGTTTAAACAGTCAGCTGGTGATAGCATACTTAAATGTTAATTTCCAGGCAGTATGTGGTACTTTCAGTTTGATTATGTATATGCAGCAGTGGCGTAACTATCGCCGGTGCAGCCGGTGCATTGCAAAAAATTGGGATATTTCTTTTTTTAAATCCTCTGGTGCAGAGCCAGGAGCGGTGGATTATTGTTATTGATTAATGCATCTTTTTCTTAGGGTCAAAAACACTAAACTCACAACTTAAAATGAAAGTGTTTAGTTTATTTAATAAAAGAGCACATGTTCAAT